AATGAATTAGCCTATTTTAGTCTATATATGCCTCCTAATTAATTTTTCTCCTATTTTCGAAATCATATATCTAACTTATTTCACTTAATCTATTCGGCTTCCAATCGGTTGATCTAGGACACACTTATCCTAGGAGACCACTATTCATGTCTCTGAGTTTTCTCTTATCCATAGCAATGCAACAATGTTGCATTTCGAGATTAAACGAATCTGGTTTCCTTTGTTTCTATTTCAGGAAAAACTCATTCATCTTTAGCGTACGGTGATATTTTCGCTTTCAGGTAATGAGAATTAGCTATACATTTGCAGTGAAATGGCAAATGGAGAACTCTACAATATAGTGACAATGCTACATGGTCAGCAAGTATTTGCTTAGCATTGCCAGTCTTCACTACAATGAGAGGAAGAGTCTTGCAATTAGTTGTCTCAGTGGTCTCAACTGTAGCTCTAGTTAGCCTTATAGGTATAGAAACTGGGCCGACATTAGCTGTGAATGAGTGCATGTGATTAACTATTGATCAATTTGTCTGAATCACTAAACGCAGCTACTAATCGAGTTGACGATAAGGCTTGCGATTAGCCATGAGAATCACCTCAATTTCTCAACCTAAGGGAGTTCTCATTTTAAACTTCACCTTGTTTTCGCCACCTTTATAAAGGCTAGGGCCGAATTCATTTCGGAAGCCATCATATGACAAATAGTTTGGACTTTATCTAGCGAAGGCAGATCGTATGTTAAATCCTTCATTCCTTATGAAGCTCACTATGCCCGATTTGTATACTACGTGGGTTTATTGTGCTATCTACACTTGAGACCAGGATTTGTAACAAGCTCAATAGTCAAGACCTCTAAATTGAAAAACGTTGATTTAAAATTAACATAAATAGTCTGGATTAAATGTTTCCTAGATTCATCTTATTTAAACTTTAATAGACCAAAGTTTGCTATTCAAGCATTTACACTCATAGTCAGTTTATATGAGATGTATTCACCGCATTTAATCAGCGCTCCCAGCAGGATTCGGATCATGACAGTGCAGTGTACAATCTCGAAACATTAACTATTTAGTCATTTTAGCATAGTTAAGCAGGCATGAAAGTATTTCAAGCCTTAATTTTTACAGCTTGGGAAACATGAACACAAACTCCTCTATCATACCTACAATTTCAATTATTTCTTGTGAAAATATCCCATCTATGAAATAGGAATTTTGAAATCATATAAATATATATATATTGAAGACAAGATCAAAATAGGAGATGGATTATAACCTCCTTTACTAGATGTGATGACTCGAAATATGCGCAAAGCTTCTCGAGGGACTAATTTACCCCCAAAACGCTTGGAAACTGGAAGAGTCATCCTTTAGATGTAAGATTATGAGGGCGGAGTGAGAGGTGGACATGATAGAAACAATTAAAAGAGATTTGATTCATTGGCTTGTTTCATTCTGCTTGCATATCAGATAGCCCTTGTTATCACGGTCTAGACAGCATTTGCGCCAGCTATCGGTTTTATAAGTGTTAAGAAGGAAATAGTATGACCTACACCGTTGGAGTGTGGCTAGATTTTACTTTAAACTCCAGCCAACTTATCTCCCTCAGTGTTCCAGGGTAAGGCCAGGCGAAAAGAAGGTATGGAGTAAGCCGGCCGCGCCAATGTCGGATGGTGCTGATGTCACAACGTCGATGTCCTTTTGGATCCTATCTGAACGTGTCGTTGACCTTTCTTGATTGGGATCCTCAAATCCTGATATAATGCGGTTTACTTCTAGGCGCTGGCGAGCCTTACGACTGCGCTCTGATAATTCATAAACCTTCTGAGCCGGAAAGAAGCAGACACTGCCCAACTCAATACCGAGTCGGGAATGAGAGTTGGATTCCTGTGGCAGGCGAACATTACGCACTGGCAAAAGTGACGCCTGTCGGCCGGTAACAGTAAGTACCAGTTGACCGGAGCTGGCGGACTGAGTAAAAAGGAGATTCAGAAAAAAAAGTTAATATGCAGCTAAGGACCTTTTGATCGAGTTGATGCAATTAAATGAGTTGTGTGCCAACCCACAAAAGTTGTGGTTCAACATTAAACTTAATCAAAGCAAGCAGTATCACAACATTTGTGAGTTGGCACACAAGAAAAAAGGGCGTGGGAAATTATAGACTTGGTATTAGGGATAGAAACAGGATGGAGATGGCAGACTGGAGCTAGTTAGCTTACCATAAACGTGGTCCATGTAGCAGAGGTGTGACCCTGAGACTTACTTAGAGGCGTCAGCCTCGAAATAGTCGCCCAGGCGTAGGAGATGGCGAATATTGCCTCGAGTAGCACAGATGGGGGGCATGGGTCGGGTGAAATACGTGAACTAGGGAGAGAACAGACGCATCTTACAGGGCAAGAGAGAGACTGTGATAAGACTTAGGGAAGAAGGAGTGCGTAACAATAGAGCAGACTTTGATCAAAAATCCCAGTACAAGGGTGAAAGAGGTGAGAACGCCGGTGTGGAGTGGTGGGTTTTCATGAATGCCGCTCAAAGGAGCACACCACACTACATCGAAATAGGCACGGAAAAAATTGTGGCAGTGAAGGTGTGATAAGAGGATATAGGAAATGTTAATAGCCCAGAGTGGAAGGGGAGATAC